AAAAAAAAAAAAAAAAAGCAAAGCAAACAAAAGTTTGCGGCTCCCATCTGTATGTCTTCCTGTGTGCATTTATAAACATCTTCCAGTCGGTGTTACCGCCCTCCTGCCGCACATGCGAAGGCAGAGGCAACGAGGGATCGCCCCCCTGAGAGCTGTTTACTTAGGGTTTGTTTTTTTTTAAATCTCTCCACCATGTATGACAAGTGTTACTTCAAGAAATTAGTCAGCCTTCTACAGATACTTCCAGTTCTGCTGTAATGATCTGCAGAAATGACCTGCTATCGCTTTATCACATCCCAAGGTGTTTCAGGGACCCCGGGAGAGGGCACAGTGGTAGCCACTCTTAATTACCTTGGGGAGGGAGGGGCGCCGACCGGGCGGAAGGCGGACAGGGACCGGGACCGGGAGGGTCCTCCCGAGGCACCTGAGGAAGCTCCCAGGCGCCTCTCTGCGAGTATTTGGAAAAGGTATGGTTGCCTTTTTTTTTTTTAATTCCTTTAGGGAGAAGTGATACCCTTGTGTAACAATTAGCTTAAACAACAAAAATAATTGGAAAATCAGTCGGAATTTCTGAGTTTTTAATTACGTTTAATTTTGTGCTAAGCCGTAAAATTACGAATGCCCCTCAATTAAACACTTTCCTCTTGTAAAGCGTTTAACAACAATTATTCCTTAATCAGCCTGAATGTGAGTCACAAATGGGGCTTTTCCACATCAAAAGGACGTCCTTCGATGTTACCTTTTTAGTCATAAGAGGATTAATTCCTATAATTAAAGGGATAAATATGTGCATAAATATCTCTTTCGCTCTCTCCTTAAAAAAAAGAAAAAAGAAAAACAACACTTTCACTCAGAGTGGGGCTCCGGCCGGGGCCGGGCGGTCGCTGTCACCGTCCGCCTGAGCGCGGTCCCCACAGCCACGCGCGCCTGCCCCGGGGGCACAGGTGCCAAGTTGGGGTCCCGGGACCCCAGCGAGCAGGTCGCGCTCCCGGGACGCCAGGGCCCCTCCGCCTCTGTCCTGCCGGGCGCGGGGACCGCAGTGCCGTGGGGTCCCGGAGAGCTCAGATCCCAGCCCCAAGCCGCTGCTCCAGGTTGACTGCAGGCTACAAATAAAACCAAGCATGACCTTTTAAAGCTCCTGTGTGAATATCTCATTTACCTAATGACTTTATGTCACCTAGGAAGAAGGTCAATTTCCTCTTAACCTTTCCCCCGCTGCTGCAGTAAGCATTCTTCCCTAATCAATGGTGGCTGGAATAATCAATTCCCATTTTATGATCGCTGACAAACTCAATCTCGGGGCGGTGCTAGCGCGGGGCTCTGCCGGGCGGTGACGGGGCTCCGGGGCGCAGCCGGCTCCGCCCGGCGCCCGTCTGGCTGCTTTCTCCGGCGTTGAGCTGGGGACCTCGAGGACGTCCCTCCCCGGCCGGGCCGCCGGCGCGACTTAGGAGTCGTCGCTAACCGGAACCTGGCACTCAGCAGAGCTCTCGCCCGCTCCGCGGCAGCGGGGGGCGCCCCGCCCCACCCGCCCGGCGCTTTCGGTTCCGGGGTGCAGGCGGGGATGGCCCGGCCCGCGGGAGCATGTGTGTGTGTGTGTGTGTGTGTGTGTGTGTGTGTGTGTGTGTGTGTGTGTGTGTGTGTGTGTGTGTGTGTGTGTGTGTGTGTGTGTGTGTGTGTGTGTGTGTGTGTGTAGAGGGAGGGCGAGGGAGAGAGAGAGAGGTGGGAGGGCTCTTTTTGGCCCCCTTTCCATCTTTGCTACACTGTAAGCTCTTTCGGGCAACACCAAGTAGGGTAAGAGAGAAGCATGCAGAGACTCCAAGACGAGTCGGGGAAATTTGGCCTCGATTTAATAGGGCTAGGGAATGAGCTCCGGAGGTCAATAAAGCACTCCAAAAATGATGAATGATGGAGCACCTGTGATGATGATAGTGATTACCAGTGCAATTAAACAGTTTGATTAAATGAGCCATCATAACAATGATGTCTGCGGGAAATCGGCCCTCACATATAAAGAAAGATAGTGCGGAGGGGCTGACAGAGGCGCGGATCTCGAAGCGCCGGGGACGGGGCTGCCGTCTGCGAGGTACCCTGAGCGGGGACCGCAGGCTGCGGCAGCTTCAGAGAAGAGTCTAGCCTAGGATTTCCGCCTTTTTCCTGGCTTCAAGCCTTGGAGACCCGACGGGTATGAAACCTGGAGGTTGGGGGGGGGCTCCTTCCACCTCCTCTTTTTTTTTTTTCCTAGAAGAACTCCAAGATTAAAAATATCCTTCTCGTTTGATGCCGAGTTGCTGGTCGACATATTTTTAAAAGGTGAGTAAAAAAGAAGACTCAAAGAGTTGGTCTCCAGAATTTTGTTTCAAGCGGCAATCACAGAGGCTCGGTTTAGCTGCGATGGTGCAGATAAAGGAGAGAGGAGGGAGAGCAGCGAGTCCAAGCTAGTCTCGCTTCGGAGCGCTTTCCATTTCGGAGAGTTGTAGATGCTGGTGGGTCCAAGTGGCTGAGAAGTTTATCGTCAGTTTTTCAGATTTTACCCTTCCAGGTGTCCTTCAATTCAGTATTGGGTAATACTACTGCCGTTGTGATTTTTGTTGTTTTAAATGTCTTGTTAAGTAAACACCAGTTACTTTTACTTTTTAAAGAAACTCTTTAGTTTCCTTGGTAACCCCTTCTTTTTGTAAAGATCACCTTCAGTTCAAACCTCTGCACCGTAGTCTAAACATGGAACGTTTTTCTACCGTGCGCTGCTTTTACCAGTTTCTTTTTTCATAGTATTACTAGCAAGAGTTAGCAATTCCCTATTGCTTTGATTTAGAAAAACTTCACTAGTATTTTAAAAAATGTTTCTTTTATGACAGTACAACTAAGTAAAAACCATTCAGATTGATGATTTTTATATTTTCAAACAATTAAGTGAATACAGTAACAGTTTATTTGCAGTAATCTCGGGTTTTACAAAAGAAGAAAAGTAAACTATTGTTGAACAATGCAAAAGGCATTTTAATCTGAACTCCTTTACTTTCTTTATTTCTCCTAACATTCTGTAATTATTTTGCATTTTATTGAATACATTAAACCATGGGACAATCTGGTCAGATGTAGAAAGGAGAGATGACATTTTAAGATTGTATCAAAGAAAAAAGTCATCTTTACCTCTGAAGACTTTCAGTTAAGGAGTGTGAGTCTTAAAAGTACATCTCTGCTGGAGGGCATCTGTGTGGTTTTCAAATTCAGCAGTTGCTTAAAGGGAGACCACAAATTTTTCAACTAAAAAGATTTCACCTACCTTGTCGATTGTGAAATTGTTAGTTTAAAATAGCAATCCCACTGTAGTGGGTAACACACAAGATGAAGTTGGAGTTGATTCTGGGAATCGGTTCAGCATCTATCTGATGATTTCAAAGGACTATTCTTACTTAGAATCAGCAACTTGAAGTTATTTTATTAATATACCTGAGGAAGGCTCCTCTCCTACTTAAGAATTCCCTTGGCTCCCCACCTCCAGTTTTCCAGTCCTCTGGAAACCATTCCACAGCAGTGGGGTAACCATTCTTTCTGATGTCTTCCCCCATCCTCAGCCACAGCCCTGCCACCCAGGCTTCCAGGCTCCTCTGCTTGCCCACCTTTGGGGTGATGGGAAAGTGGGTGGGGCAGGCCCTAGAGACAGGCGAGAGATGGGGGTCAGAGGAGGCACACAGACCTCCTGCGACAGTCAGCTCCGTCTGCCCAGGCTGGAAATGGTTTTAACAGGCGGTAAAATTTCATCTTGCGGTGTCAAATTGGGGTCATTTTGGGGTTAGAGTTCTCAGTGTCCAAGAGGAGCTGTCCAGCTGCGTGGGGACTCATTAACTGCAAAAGATCTGTTTCAGTAAAAACAATTCAAAGACAATCAGAAGGCTAAAGACCCTCTACAAATCGCATTTTACAAGTGCCCCAGAACAAATATGGATGGTGAAACCTCTTTCTTCAGAATCCCAAATCAGCTACTTAGCTTTGGAGTAGGGGGTGGGGGCACTGCAGTAAAAGAGGTGAGAGGGAGGGACCACGGAGGTGGAAGTGAACTGGAGAAGGAACGGGGCCTCTCCGATCTAAGTCTGTTTGTGATCACCTCTTACTGGAGCATCCCCAAGACGTCTGCAAACTGCTTCTTTTTTATTTTTCCCTTTTGGACCTAACATTTAATGTTATTATAGGTAACATTTAGGATTTTAAAAGTATAATTTAATCCCCCTGTAGTTTCTTAACTAGAAGGGCACTGGCTTTGTGGAGAGTAGTTCATTTGAAGGGAACATTTATAAGCTCAGACTTTATTTGAGGTGCATTTACTCATGCTCCACAAGAATCCTGTTTCTTTTTAACTCCCTCCCCCAAAGCTGTAGATCCTTCACACAGATAACTCCAAATTACTCAGAACAGTGAGGTCTGAAGTGCTAATCTGTGTATTAAAATCGCCGAGTTTAAATCCTTTTTGTCTTCTTACAACAGTTAGAACAATTGATGCCTTGCTAGAGGAACAAATAAACCCAACCTTAATCTTGTTTGTAACTTTAGTTAATGTTTTGATTTGGAATATTTTGTACGAAGCAGATTTTTTCCCCCCAAGCCGTTAAGGTTTTTATTTGAGAAGGTTCTATTTATTGGTTTGAAAGAAAGATATGAATTATTCCTTTGATTTTTACAAAGATTCCATCAGGTGAAAGGAAACTGCAGTGTTAAAATAAGAAGCTAGATGTGTGAAATGCCACGGATTTCAGTATAAAACCAAATCAGTATTTAAAAGTAAAATATCACATGAAAGAAGTTTTTTCCCCCTTGCATTACTGAACTGAGCAAGTAAGAGAGACTGTTAAAAAATATTTTTTGTTACCTCTTTTTTCCTCTGGACTTCTCTTCAGTCCCTATATCTTTTCTTTTCATCCACACAACTTTTCTTTGAGTCCTAAAGGACTCGGTGAATTTTTGCATTCTAGCTCTTTCCTCAAAGCTTACCAGAGCATTTCTAAATTGTTCTTCAAGGACTTTAATTGCAGCCCTGCAAAATAGCCCTGAGCCCAGCATTGCTGGGACAAAGGCTCGGGGGCAGTCTTCTTCCCCAGACCTGCTGCTTGACAGTTGGAATTTTTGATATATATTTTATTTGGCATTTCCAATAACAAGTTTGTCTCTCCACTCCCCCCTCCTCCACCCCTTGGAGCCATCTATTACTTTGAAAACTTCTGCTCTCCCTAAACCTGTAAACCTGGGCTCAGCCTTGTGAACTGTTCTTGACCTTACCAGCAGTGTGAGGAGCAGCTCTGAAAGTTGGCCTAAAGGGAATTCCCCTCTTTCCCTTACCTCTTAGTTCCGTTCTCTTTCTTCCTAGCTGAGATCAACAGGGGGAAGGACTCAGTGTTATCTTTGCTTGGTTTTTGTTTTGGGGTTTGTTGTTGTTGTTTGTTTTGTTTTGTTTTTTAGTCTTTTTAATTGCCTTTCCCCACCTAGGCTACTTTAGATTTTTCTCGACGAAATTAACAACAATAAATAACCCTACACTTTATTTCACAAATAGGATGGAACGGGTTCATTGTATTTTCTTTCCTTTTGCCCTGTCTTAATTTCTCCCGGTTTTAGCGTGTTCACCATCTCGCGGAGGGAAGGGTTTCCATAAGTAGCCCTCTAGCGCTATCTGGCGGGGCTCCAAACGCGCCCGCCGTGCGCTTGCTCTTGCTGCCTCTTCCTCTATCTTGCTCGCTCTCGCTCTCCTCTCTCTCCTCCTCTCATCTCTTCCGCTCTTTCTGCTATCCGCCCCCCTTCTCTCCTCTCTCTTTCCCTCCACTGGTTCCTGCCCCCGTTTCCAGGCAGACTGCTAGGGAAGGCCCGGCCCAAAGGCTGATGCCTCCTCCATTGCAGGATGCTCTGGCGCGTGAGCGCAGGGTCCCCGTCCCTGCCAGCGCGGGTCACACGCACCCAGGGCCCTGGACTGGCAACTTCGCGCCGCTGAACTTGTTGCTTAAGCCCCAGCTTCTCCGCTGGGGGTGGCTTGGAGGGGCTTAAAAGTGCATTTGTGAAGTTTGCAGGAAGGAAATCAGACACTGGAATCCTGGCTGTTGGAGCCCAGCTAAGTTTTAGGTCAGAAGGCCGAGGCTCAGTGCTCGCCTGGGAGAGAGGTCGGGCTTCCGAGGCTGGGAACTGTGTGGCGCACGCAGGGCCCTGGACAGAGTGGGCGTGGGGTGCTAGAGGTCGCCCAGGGCCTCTTGTGACCGCACCGCACAGCTCGAACCTGCAGACTGGCCCTGTCGTTTTTGTTTTGTTTTCTCCTTGAAGTAATCAGTTTTATCCCCCGCGCCCATTCCCCTAGGACAGCAAATTTGGAGAGGAGGGGTAAAGAAAAGTGGGAGTAGGAAGGCTTCCTGGAAAAGCCACAGGGCAAAGAGCCAGCAGAGATGGAGGGAGAAAGTCAGTGGCTGGGGCCACAGTATCGCCAGCATCCGCCCTCCTTCCTCACCAGTTGTCATGACCTCTTCCTTATTTGGGGCCTTTTTTTCTTTTTCAGTGACAGTAAACACAGAGATGTGTGGGGAGGTCAGAAGGGATAAAGGCTAAAAGAGATTTGACTGTGAACTGGGTGCTGTAGGTGGGAGGTGGGCTGTGTCTAAGATTCACTCATATAGTCTTTCACAGGCGCACACGCCGCCCACACAGCCCTTTGAGCAAGCCCCTTCCAGCTAGTTCTTGAAAGCCCAGGAAGGACATGTCACCTGAGGCAGAGTTACGAATGTGTTTCCTAAAATTTTAGTTTTGCCTTTGCAAAATAAAAATGAAGGCCATACCCCAGTACAGACCCAGTAGGTGACAGGAACTTGGCCCAAGGTGTCTGAGACCAGCCACACAGAGATCTATTTCCAAATCTGGAATCTGAAGATGGAAAGCGGGGGGATGGGGTGACACCCTCGTAGGCTTTCTGCCCCAAGAATCGCCCCCCACCCCTACTGCTGAGAGAAGAAAGCACAGCTCGGGTGTAATTAATTGAGGACTGTTATTAGGTCATCATTAGCCAAGGTGCTAATAATTGCAGCCCATTTTTACTTAAAATTGACCAGTCCCAGAGTGATAGATCGATTCGGAGTATAAAAATGATGTATCAAAACATCAATGTCGATTATTTGAAATATTGTAGTCGAATTTTTTTTATTGCTTCATCGGTTAAGTGTCTGAAAGTGCAGTGTTCAAACATATATTTATGTTGTCAATACTGTCAGAACTGTCAGTTTTACTATACTGGATTTGTACTACCTTTCAAATTTGCTCATTTACATAAAATGCCCACCCTAGGATTCCCCCCACCTCCCACCCCATCTCTGGAAAATCCGTGTCAATTCCTTCAAAGGATTCAGCAGTCTGTGCCTATTAAAATGTGCACTGCCTCTTTTACTCAATTTTCCACGACGGATTACATGTCTTTTTCACCATTTTTAACTTTCAGAGAGATGTTTCCTCCTTTCTGCCTAACTCTGCCCATCCTAACCTCTTCCCCCAAATGGTACTGAAGCAGTTGCAAAGCATCAGGTTTAAATACCCACATCCTAGCTCTAAAATATACCATTTAGGCAGAAAAACAGATTTCACTGTCCCTCATAGCCCCCCTCCCCATAAACCCGGCAGTCCACCAGGCAGATGTTCTCACAGGTGACAAAGTCCATCACCCAATTACCTAGAAGATTGGAGTCTTCCAAGGAAAGTGAATTTGAAAATAAAAATACTTTTTCTTTCTTTTTACTTAAAAGCTGTGATGGCAGAAAAAGAAATAATACATATAAATGATCGGCACGTTTTACCTTTGAAAGCTTTTGAACTCAATCCAAAGACATGAGTTGGAAGCAGAATTGACAGTTTTAATTCTACCCATTTTCACCTGGCACGGCAGATCAGAGGCAATCGTTTATTTTATGGGGTGTGGATTGGAAAGGTGGATAGAAAGCTTGAATCACTGAAGTCTCTATCCTAAAATTCCCAGAGAAATTAAGGACTCTTACTAAAACAAACATTGCCTTGCTCTGTACCCTCCTTCTAAACTAGCTGAAATTTATAAATTCACATTATGCCTAATTTTATGCTTTTTATTTTTTTCCAGGATCCCCTCAAGTCTGATAGGAAAGACAGGACCACTTCTGGACTAGCTGTAAGGATGTGTTTTTGTTTCTATAACACTGAAGCACTTTTCATAAACCTTTTACTGTATCTATATAAGTCTATTTGGACATTAAAAGAAGCGAAGGCACAAAGATAGCTTGGCTTTATGCCCTCAGCCTAGCCTTAACAACAACAACAACAAAATCCAGAATCTGAGACTTT